ACTTAATTCTACTTCCACATGACTGAGGGACATCCAGCCCTCTACCTTCCTTCTCCCAGTGTCTCCCAGTGGAGATCTCCCTGGAACTTTGAAGCTTTATCTTTATTAACCATAGTTTAGGATTTTATGCCAAGGAGACGTTAGTAGGGATTCAGTGAATATCACATTTGTAGCCTTGTTATTTTATACTCTTCTAGAAAATGGAGGCTAAAAGGGTTCAAAGGCTTCTACATTACATTGTGAATAGACCAGCACCTTTGTTCTAAAAATGAATACACGACTTAAAAATAAATAATTAAGTGGGTTCAAACCAGAAGCTTACATTGCTTTTGAGGATATGCACATTTGATCAGCTGTTGAAAGAGTTGCAGTTCGGCTGTACTGAGCTAAGATTTAGTGACGGGGCACCCAGGGATCAGACTCAAAGGCAGAACCTTAGCCTTTTCCTTATAACAAGAAATGACTATCAGACTAGACGGTATGGAGACATAACACACAGTACCAAAAGGCATGAATGCTTTTCAACAGGGTGGAAGACTGGTATGGCCAATCTTTAGGCTAAGATTCAATGAAGAACAGTAAGAACAATTGTTAAGTTCAGTCTTACTTGGCAAAGCATGTCAGTTTATGCTTATCTTTAACTTGTGATTATTGAAGATAATAAAATTTATGTGTGCACCTAAAATTAAGCAATGACTTTACTGTTTTGTTGAAAGGTGTCCATGGTATGCTAGGAAGAAAGCAGTTTGGCCTGCCATGGCCAGGAGAGGCTGCTTTTATATAAGTCTGCATGACAAGGTAAAAAACAGGCAAAACTTTTTGAAGAAGATTTCCTCATCCTCACTTCCCACTCCATATCCTCCCACCTTCCTAAATTACCCTTTTTACATCTCAATTGATGGAAAGACAAAGAAACCACTGTAACTGAGCAGAGCTGCAAAGTGAGGTAAAAATTGCAGAGGGCAAGACTGATAAAAGCAAGTCTGGTCCAGTCTGAATGTATGAGGCAAAAGCAGCAAAAGAAAGCTAAAAATATACATTGACAATGAAGGACAAAGAGCAATAAGCATTATTGTTGCAGTCTGTTAAAGCATTTGCAGCAGGAAAAAATACAGGAAAAATTGAGAAGTTGAATAAATAAAAGAAAAAGGATAAAAAAATAGCAAAATTATTAATTTTTTTCCCATAATTATTTTAAACAGTGGAACACATGCTCTAGTATTCAGAGAGTTAGGCACTTGTACACATCTTTCTCATTGTTTCGAATGAAGCTCAAGCATATGATTAAAAGTCTTTGCTAGATAAGGCTGGAAAGCTCCTTGAACAGGAACCACATTCCCAGACATAGGTCCAGGTTGGACCATGTGTATGTGTGATGCTGTATTTGAAAATAGTATCTGCACATATCGCAGAGGGAATACTTAATGTGTTTGAAGCTGGCAGCATGCTTGAGCATCCACTTAGATTGTGGTGAGAGAGAGAAGGTAAAAGTGGTAAAGGAGTAAGAAAATTCTTGTGAAAGGTTTAGGCATTTCTCCAGATTGCTGGTATCCTGTAGTGTACTTACTGTTAATGCTGTAACTTTTTGCATAGACCGTTAAGAGCAGAATTCTGCTCACATATCTGATATGACTTTGAAATTCAGACTTTGCCATTTCCAGGCCAGGTAATGTTTTAAAGACAATGACTGGTTTGAATGAGAAGGAATAGAATTAATAGAATTATTTTTATTTCTTTCTCTGAGAGAAGACAGGAGATAGACAGATACTTTGACAGCAGGTAAGAAGCCCTACACTCTAGGTTTTTAGGGAACTAAAACCTAAGCTTAAGGAAAAAGTCTTAATTTAAAAATTAACTAAATACTAACTGATTTGCTGTTTTTTAAGAAATATAGTGAGAATATGTTTCGGTTTAGTTAATTAACATGTTGAAAGGAATAACTATTTTGGAGACAGAAAATATTAACTTATGGAGGTCTTGCTATAAGGAATAAATACTGTACTTTGACTATTGCCACGGCCCTATAGAAAATAATGGGAAATTAAGGAAAATATTAGAAGTATGCATTAGAAAAATTAATTTTTTTCCTAAGTTAACCTTATTTGAAATTGAAGAAACTCAGGGTTTTTTTACTTCTGTCTTTCCTTGGATTTCTGTAAAAGCACAACCTTTTAGACACCATACATTTTCAGCTTCTAAATTATTTTTAATTTTCATTTGTTTATACACTTTATATCATTATACACTCAGTCTGGATATATATGGCAAATCTGAAATAAAGAAGGTGTTCATGACTTTCTTGATCTTACACTGCCATTTGGACAGTGTTCAAGTTTAGCTGAATATTAAAACCTTAGGAGGATTATCCAACTGATATCAGTAGATCAGTGGTTTTCAACCTGTACTCTGCCATCTGGGAATCTCTGGATTATTCCTGTGCAGTCTGTAAAAATCGACTAGAATCCCAGCTGACCGTAGTTGCTTAAATTCACTACACATC